AATTTAACTAGTCTAGCTGTTTCAGTTTATATACATATGTGACCCATCACATGAAACAAGGGTTAAATCTAAAAGTTGTATGTGGAGAAATAGGCAGATAGTGTTTTGATTAAAACACTTGCAAAAATTAGTTTGTCCAAATAGAACAAATAAATGTGTTATCAATGTATCATTTCAATGAACTGTCTGAAATATTATCCTAAAAATTTTTTTTGAAGCTCTTTTGTTGAGCATTAGCAACAAAAAAACTGATTTTGAGGAAAAATGCCTAAAATTTTGAGATTTTCCCCGTGAGCTAGTAATGTTTTTGTTTCTTTCCAGCTGGGAAATCTCAATATTCAAATACTATGAGGTTTCTTTTTTAAAACGACACACAAAAAATCCTGATTAAAATTACATAAAATTAGGATTTAGACCAAATATTTATGTATTATTGTAACCAACAAGACAAATTAAATAACATCTCTGGATCTACTAACGATATCAGGATGATCTAAGTATCAAAATGTAGCTTTTAAAGCAGGAATCTGAAAATATGATTATGTCAAATTTGACTTAATCCTCATTTCGATGTGATGGGTCACATATATCAAGGCTGCCCAAACATTTTCCCAAAAATGAAAATCTGAGGGCTGCAGCCAAATGTAATACTGAAATATAAATACTTCTTAAGTACAGTCCTTTTATGTCAATGATTACGTCCTGCTGGAGTGTGACATGATTTGTTTGTGTACAAACTAATACAGTATCAGAGTTTTATATATTTATACTTCTCATTCAACCACAATTAAATTCACTAACTAGGAGGCACAATTTATATGGATGGTATTTATTTTTTTACAATAACAAGCTGGAATGAAAACAAGCAAAAATGTAACGACTTTCCACTTCTTGCCTTTTTTAAAAATGTAAGAAGTAGAAGTAAAAAGTAGGCTGAAAATAAATTACTCACGTAAAGTACAGATACCCAAAAATTCTACGTAAGTACAGTAAAGTATTTGTACTTTCCAACTCTGATGGTTCATGAACAGCTTCTACTCACCTTCACATATCATGGGCTCGATGGTGAACACGTGACCAGGCTTCATGACTCCAACTGCTTTGTTTTCTGTCAAACGAAACGTTAACGGTGATCAGAGACGTGAACCATCGCTGCTTCTACACTCCGGAGGCGCAGCTACTCACTGGCGTAATGCGGCACGTTGGGAGCGGTGTGGAAGAGTCTGTGGATGCCGTGACCGCAGTAACTTCTCACCACAGAGAAGCCGCTGGCCTGAGCGTGCTTCTGGATGACGTTACCCAGCTCTCTGTAGCGGACGCCGGGTTTCACTGAGGAGCAAACACAAAAGCGTTGTGTGTTTTCTCTCTAATTGTAACAAGAAGGCAGCGTGTGTTGTGCTCAGCCGAGGGGTAAAATCTAGATTTATGCCTTTTGATGTGTTTTTGAAGAACCAAAAAGATTCACGTCTCCTTGAGCTCTTTGAAAGTTCAACCTGCTGTTTCTTCTCTTAATGATTGCACAACCTTCAAAATAAAAGGTCACTTCAGCTCATAATGATGAATAATKTAGTTTTTCAATCAAATTCTGTGATGTTGGGAGATTTAGAACTCTGTTGGTAAAGTTCAGTCAGAAATATTTAAACACTATTTCAGAAATACACTAATTCTTATTTAAAATAAACCTGTTGCTTGAGGACTGAATGCATTTTCCAAAACACAAAATATTAATATTAAAGTTAAAGTTAGCAACCGCGCATGTCAGTGCTTCTATTCTGACTAAAATCCTGGTGCACGTAAACACTCGTCATTATCAGATTGTGCCCATGTAAACGATACATTCGGAGTATTTAATCCAGGGGTGCCCAAAGATTTTCCTTGAGAGGGCCAAAACTAAAAAAACATTTTCCCTGAGGGCCAAAATTAAAATCAGTCTAAGCGGGGTGGGCCAAATACAATAATATAATACATGAAATGCAAATACTTCTCAAGTAAAGTTGCACTTTTTTTAAATTTAAGCTAGCAGCCATTGTGGTTGTCCACATTTTGTTTGTTTGGTTATTTTTCAGCCCATGAACATGGAGAAAATTCAACGTATGCTCAGGCAGCAAAGGCTCCTGAGTCTTTTCATAATTTTAAATTTTGAGTATATGTGGTCTTGTAAGGTGTGAAAATCTAGATATGGACTTAAATCTAAGATAAATGTCTCTTGAAGTTACTTGTATTTTATATTTAATTTTAACACAATTCAAAGAAAGTCAGTACCATGAGTTAAGACTATCTGACTACAGCTCCTTGTACGTATAGTTGGACCAATTGTTGAAAAGACTAAGTGGAAATATAGTGTTTCTACATAAGACAGATTACAATCTAGTAACCAGGACAACTGGTGGTGGGCCAAATCAAATGGCTTGGCGGGCCAAATTTGGCCCATGGGCCACACTTTGGGCACCTCTGATTGAATCCAAATGCATTTCAATCTGATCAAAGAGTTTTGTGCATGTAAACATAGCTACTATCAAAGTTTACTAATCTCCTCCACTCTTCAAAATTTGTCTCCATTTCATCCACAACTTGATCAGCTTGGTGTCGCATCCAAAACAGCTCGACTTGAACTCTCCAGGCAGTTTATTGTGCAACACCACGGACGAGGACGTAAAAAACTGATCTCTGCACGGAGGGATGTACGCCCGATTATGTGGGGGCCTTAACTGTTCATTAAAAAAAAACTACAATTGTAGTCGGAAATGACCAAACAAAAAAAAGGTGCCTACCAGAGTCGATGGCTTGCATAAGGCATTCATACGTAGTCTGAACCAGCTTCTTTGCTCCTTCTTCCACCTCCCCGACAAAGAAGGTTTCATTGAGGTCACCATGAAAACCGTTGTGGTAGACGGTGATGTCCACTGTGTAAAGGAATAAAAAATAACGTCAGACTCACTGTGTTACATTAAAAAAAAACCTTATAGACTACTATATTTAACAAAAGGTAAAAACTGTCTATAGAGTTTAACAGCAGCAGGTGGTGGGACACCCATTAAAAAATAAAAATAAAATGCAAACAGGGAGGGCTACCAAAAGGAGCGTATCTGAGTGGCAGAGTCCCACTGGAAAAGCTTAATGAAACAATCTGTCTTGTCGGAGCACGGGCGAGACATGAGCTGCTGAAAAGTGCTCCATCAGACGCTCTGAGGGGAGCGGCGGATGGAAGACGTCGCCTTAGCAGAAACATTCATAAAGGGGCTAAAATTGGCCAAACTCCTGCTGACACCAATTCAGGAGGCTGCTGCCATCATTCATCACGACAGACAAATTGTTTGCTCCCTCGCTTATTAAAACATTTCCTCATTAAGAAACTAAAGCTGAAGTCTTTCTGAGTGCCAAGAAAGGATATTTAAACCGTGCTCTGGTCTAAAGAAGGGGTTTTGTGACGCGAGCGCACCGTTGAGGATATCTCCTTCCTGCAGGGGTCTCCTGTCCGGGATGCCGTGGCAGATGACTTCATTGACCGACGTGCAGCAGGATTTGGGGAAGTTGTAGTAGTTGAGGGGTGAGGGGTAACAGTTTCTTGCTATGCAGGCCTGAACAGAAAGAATAAGTTGGTTTACAGAGACAGATAATAAAGATGTGAGAGCTTTCTGCAGCTGACGGGCTCTGGTTTAATGTCTGTATAGACCCACCCTGCAGTGACTGATTGTCTGCATTTAACTCAAGTTAAAGTAATGTTTGAGAGGAGAACTGTTTACGTTAGAACACCTACATTATTCAGAAAGAGAGTCCGCAGATATTAAACTGCGTGGCAAAAGTAATTAGCTGCTCTGTGAGGCTGAACATGTTAAGAACAGGTATTCCTCCCATGGGAGCCATCTTGGTTTAACCAGTTACAATTAGGACCAAACAAAAACAGCTGATGCTAAGAGAAGCTGTAATAAAAGTCAATAAAATGTATCCTGATGGGAGTGCACCAGATTAAACCATAATCCACTGAATACGAGTTAGCATTAGCCTCAGTATATTAATGTAAACAGACGTGAACAGATCTGGAAAGTATAATAATCATACAAAATGACTTTTTTCTCTTTTTAAATAAAGTTTGAGATTTTATAGATGTGTTTTTAAAAAGGGTCAGTTTTATGTGTTTCTCAGGCATATAGTTCAATTCTATACCATAACAAAGTAACTATGTCACCTTCAGTTGTTAATAAAATGCTGTTTTTATGTATAAATTAATTTGACTTCACATGACAGCTGTTTCTTAACACCTTGAAATAGGCCTCTGTCTCTTTAAGAACCTTCTACCGCTTCTGTCAACCTATTTCTGTATTTCATCACAACAGCTTCATGCTGTTTACAACCGGTCTTAGGAGTGTTGTATTTTGATGTAATAATTGTAAAAAAAAAAAAGCAGCATTACATAATATGAGTTTTGGAAAACAGCAACTCAGGATACAACTGAACCGTATCGTCAAACTGGAAAGTAGGTTTTCTTAAGAACCGGAGCAGATAGAGGGACGGCATTTCAGCTTGTTAAGATATCTCCCAGTCATCATCGGTACTTCTCTCCTCTCAGTAGGGTTGTTTACAGCTCACGCAATTTCCGGTTAGCATCTTAGCTTAGCCTCCTTCACAGTGGAGCTGGCGTACATATACGTCGCGGCCAAACGATCCAATCATTTTAAACTTCAGCAGTGGCCACGCCTCCAGCCGAGAGTCCAGACCCTCGTACGAAGCAAAGTGAAGGACAAGGGTCTGGTTTTTACCAGGCTACAGATAGACCAAACAACCAAACAAAACAACATCAGTTGTTTTTCCATGATATAAAGCTAAAAAAAACTTGATTTTACATGATACTGCCCCTTTAAGAATAAAAACTAGTTCTGAATTTATGTGATTCCTTTAATATATGTTTTTAATCTGAAAAAAGAAACTCATTGCGCGTGCATTCATGCATTCTAAAATGACTCAGCGTGTGAGCGTGCATGAATACCAGATGCACAGCGTGGTCTATTTCTTCTGTGGTCACCCCTGGTTTCACCATCATGGCTGCGATGTCCAGGACTTCTCGCGCCAGCTGCACACAGACAAACACGAGTCAAATACAAAACCGCCACAAGAAAGTGACACGACAGAGCGGGTCCGTTTCTTCACCTTGCACACCACTCTCATGCCTTCGATGTCCTCGGGAGAGAGGATCTTGATCTGCGACGTGCCCTTCAGGAACTGCTCGGACTCAGACATGCCTGCGGGGAGGAGACAAGGACGGACAGCCGGCATCAATCACCCGTCAATACGAGGTGACGCTGATGAGCTCGTTCTGTTAGGACCTTGAAAAAGCAGCTGCTGCCAGTCTATTTTCAAATACACTGCTGGCTTTAAATTCCTCACTGATTGTTTTCCATCACAAATGATGGCTGAATAAATCGTAGGACTCAAAAGGTACGAAGCATCGTTATTATTATCATTATCAGTGGTGGGCACCAGTCCGCTAAAGCGTAAATCCGCAAATTGCGGACTTATATATTTTGTTTGCGCTTTAGCGGTCTTACTAATTTTTATAACTCATAAGCAGATTTGCGCTTTCTAAAATTAAAATGCAGTAGCGCTAATAACTAATTATCTACCAGTCATCATCATCTTGAACAGTGGAAGGTATGGATGTCAATGAATCACAACACACGTGATCTATCCAACAGCACCCCTCCCAGATAAAAACACATATTGGAAAGGTATACATCCTTGCTGACAGTTGCTCTCGGTCATGGTTCTCATTTCCCACAATGCTTTGTGTCTGCTTACGTAGCAGGAAGGCAATGTTTAGTACTCCCTTTCCCAGAAAAAACAGTAAACGTTTGTAATCCATACTAAAATTTTGTACGTATTGATTTATTTTACTTTACAATCGGAGCTCCTTCTTTTAAATAAATAAATAAAGTTTTAACGCTGGAGCTCAATACTTGACGTAATTGGTCGAAGCAATCCGCCAACAGGGTTAGACAGACATCTAGTGGTCAACTGGAGCAACTACATGAAAAACTTTCGTTTCTCGTCACAAATCAAATCCGTCATGTTCCCAGAACGCATCGCTTCAGTTTTCCAATAAACAGTTTTAAAATAATTTTATTGATGCTTCTTTAATGAAAAATCTACAACAAACAAAAGAAAAAGACAAAGAAGCAGCCGAACTAGCAATCCTCAACAACTTTTTAACTTTTACACCAGGAGCCAAAGTTCTGTTTCAGGAAATCACATCCCCAGCAATCGGCCGTTGTAGGATTAAGTTGTAAAAGGGTTCATACACTGCTAAGTGGCAGTGTTGTACATATATTGTACATGAATTGTTGCCAGCTAGTAACTGTCAAATTTGCGCTTTAAAATTAGCTTCCACTATGTCCTGATGCATCTCAGTAATCCAGGTAAAAAATCAAAGGAAAAAAAAAATTGTTTCAATTTTTTTTTTCCTTTGATTAGCTTCCACTAGTTTTTCTATGGCATAAGCATTTTTGAAGTTGTAGACCTAAATATTTTCATAAGCGCTTTAGAAATTGCAGAGCTAATTTTTGGGTTAGCGCTGCCCACCACTGATTATTATTAATATTTCTGCAGCTAGGCACTAGTTGGTACAGTTTGACCAATTACAAAATAAGTGTGTGAATCATCTAGCAGGTTTACCTTCTATGGTGTTTGACTCCTGGAAGCTTCAACAGGTCAGAGAGTACAGTTTATTCAACACAAGTTTATAAAAAATAAATACACTCAACAGAAACAACAGGGGGGGAAATTATTAATCTCTACAGCAGAAGCCAAGTCTACTTCTAAAAAGCCATGGCTTGGTTTAAAAGTGATCAGAACTCACCATAATAAAACTTTAATCAGATTCTCTTTATTTTTAGACACAAACGTGTTTCTTGGAACATCTGAGACAGAGAAAGATATTTGATGCTGAAGAACTGCAACACAAACGCATCACTTCTTGGTTTTGTTTATTATAGCCAGGTTTGATTTTATTTTAAATACCCTAGCTGTATTATTAGGACTGTACTGATATAWATTAACGAGAAAATGATAAAAGATGGGTTACTGAAGAAATATGAAACAGTATTATATTTATTCATATAAACTGTTCTAGATGGATTTGATGTTTTTGTTTATTGAAGATTATTGTTTCAGTTTATACTTGAGAAAAAAGGGGCAAATATAACATTTTTTCTTCTCTCTGCTGCCTTTCATTTCATTGTACTTTCTTTTTAATTCTACGTAGTATTAATTTTGTTTTAAAGAAATGAATAAAGTTTTTACATAGAAAATAAAATAAAGAAAAAATAAATTCATCATGTGGTTTGTACCTTGGTTTAAGGGGTTTAGAAGTATTCTGAATGGTAGATGTTTTACAGTTCAGAGAAAAGGTTTATGGAACTGTCTAGGTATTAAAATAAAAAACCTCCAAAACTAACTATATGTTCAAAAAGGAGATTAAGTCAAAGTTATTGGGAAAATATGTAATGTTTACTGGAAATATGTAAAAACAAAATATTTGCTTGTTTGTAAATTTGGACATTGTTTAAGCTTAAGTTTGTTGTAAGTTTGAGATTATTCTTAATTTTTCAATAAGGGCTCTGTTAAAGATTTTTGTTCTTCACTCCGCACCCTTTTCATTCAGAACTTGTTTTGTTCTCTCTTTTAATTATTATTTAAGTGAAATAAATTTTAAAAAATGTTCGGTACAGCAAAGAAAAAAAAGTATTAACAAATTCTAAAAAGACATTAACCCTCTCAGAAGCACTTGTTTGTTCGGTAAGAGGCTTTACTTGTAGCAGTTTCTGTACAACAAGCTGAGATTTTGCAACTATTAGTTTTAAAAAGTCGTACCATAAACTCCAAATCTGAAGGCATCTCTGTTTATTTTAAATAGTATTAAAAAAGGTTTGATTTACTTAATTCAACCTAAACTTAAAGCTAAATAAAAGGATAAACTAAATAAAATCTTCCGATGTGAAAATAGAAACCACATTAAATCTTGAACAGCCTCACTGAGCCTCTCAGCTGAGTGCTAACATGCTGTTCATTCACAGGTGGCTCGTATTAAACATCTGAAGATGTATTTAACCCGGCTTATTGGACACTAGGGGGTGTTTTAAAGTCTGTGAATTATGACCCGTTTGGCTTTCCATACATCCACCAATTGCTCTCTTGCTGCTGTGAGTMACCAGAAACTTCCACACTGATGATGAAGATGATGATGCTCACCCCTGATGAGGCCTCCTTACAGCAAAGCCAGCCTTGTTCTTTATTTATTGTGCAGAAAGTGCATCTTTTTGTAGATTTATTATTAGAATAAAACATCCATTACAAGCTAAATAATTCCAGAATATAAATTTATCTCTTTTTGCACCAAAATCTGGAATAAATAAATGATTAAACAGAAAAGTCGAGCTCCTGGAGGTGCAGTCCCATGGCACTGGTGACTCTGTTGCTCCTAATAAAAGTGCTCACACAGCGCATGCTTCGTCTGTTTCGACAGTTTTCCAGCTTGAATCCTGAACGTAAGGAGCATAAAAGGCAGCTCGCGGTGCCGCGGTGCTATGAATAACTAGCTGCTCCTGTGGAGACTACACTACAGCATCAGCACCTGAGCAGAGGAAGGCTTTAATGACACTCACACAGCCGAGGAGGGAGAACAGAGCAGGAGTGTTACTGGTGTGTGGAGAACAAGAGAAGAGCAGGKTTCAGAGCACATGACAAGAAATAGTGAACGTTCACCGTGACCTGCAGGTCGGTCCTTCACTAAGTTTACGCTAGTCAAAGCTGACGTCATCGCTAATTCACTCATTTATAATTTATTAACTCCCAACATCCAGCAAGATGATTGCTGGTTGGACACGAACAGTTGCTTAGCAACACAAACCTGAGACGGATTTGTGTGCGAGTTGAATAAAGCCGTCCTTTTGACCTGGAGAGCCAGCAACAGGGTCCGAATCTACTGAACTGTCTTTATTKGGGCTGGGTATCATGGCCAGTTCTCTACATCGATTTCATTTCCATTCATAACGTTCTGAATCAATTAATTACGATTCGATTCAGTTCGATTCGATTCAATTTGACTCACTTCGATCTGCTCTTACATAATGAAACGGTTCAACTGTGTAGCAAAATACAACATCACTATTTATTCTMTTCACTATAAACAACAGGTTTTAAGGACAAACTTTTAAATTAAACAGTTTAATCTTGAAGGAAAACTGTCACAAGTTTCAAAGGTTTTAAAGTAAAGGGTCCGACACACGGGCAGCGACAAACTACAGCGATTAACGGCTGTCATCGCAGCCAGGGTGAAACCCGACACACGGGACGCAATAGCGATCGCAGCGTTGCGAATCGCGCTCTCAGGTCGCTTGTCTTCACGAAATTTGATTG